AAATTAATGCAACCAGGTTTTTTTATTTTGTTTTAAAAAATAATTTTAAAAATTGTATTGCAAATCATTTTTTAAAAAAAAGAACAGTAACCAAATGTGACTTAGAGCCTTTTGATTTATGTTCTTATTTCTTATTTTTAAAAACTGTTTTCTAATATGATTTTTATAATAAAATAAAATAAAAATTTATTTTCTTATGTTAATTAAAAAATAATTTTAAAATTAAAAAATAAATTGATAGTGATAGTTACAAATAATTAATAGTGATAATTAATAATAAAAATTAGTCAAGATAACTATAATTTTTAATAATCAAATATAGTGTATTTTAAAAGTAAAAATAAAATAAAAATAACTTAAAGTTGTTTCTATTTTTTTAAAAAAATAAAAATTTTTGGAAACAACTAAATGAAAAACACTTATCTAAATAAATTTTAAATTTTTTCCTTTTTTAAAAATAACAAATAGTTTTTAGAAACAGAAAAGAAAAAAGCTTTAACGTTTGTTTTTTTGACCTGAATTTAAATGTCTAGTTAAACTCTCATATTTATAACTATTTAAATTTACTTGCAACTCATTTTTTAACAAAATTTTGAGACCTGATATATATTATATTAAATTAATTACCATACTTTTGATTACACACGCATATTTTTCCAACGAAGATATTTATTCTATAATCAACATTTATTTTAAGTCCAATTTCATTTTACATATGTCAAAAATTATACAAATTACATCTAATTACTTTATGAAATTAATTAAAACACGCAGCAAAGAAAAAAAAGTTGTAGAAAAAAAATTAATCTAGAACGAGAATGAATCCAGGTGTTCGATATTCATAAATTTGAACGAGAGCTAGTAAATAAGTAAGCTAGTAAACTTTATTGCGAATTTCTGGAGAAACTCCCCCCCCCCCAATAATCTTAATATTTCATTAAACCATCAAAGCAAATGACATAATATTAGCAAACTAAACATTACACAAGTATCATAAAAGTCTAAAGCAAAAGGAGGAAGAAATTAAATTGGTTATAGTCTTGCGATACATTAAAAGTGACAGAACAAAAGAAGCCAGCAAATGGATATCCTGCACCAAAGGTCGTAGAAGATAATCCATGAAATAGCTCCCTGCAAAAACACTGAAAAGGATGCTACGAAGATTCTTTGATTCAAAGCTAGAATAGTACGAATGCAAGTGAGGTTATTGAAACAGTTTGGCTCCATTTAAAGCATTCAGTGCAAAAATTCAGAGTTGACAAAAACCTTAACAAGGCAGAAAGAAGATATCGTCGAAGAAGGATCATGCATGAAATACTGTTGAAGAAGGATCGTGAAATTCTGAGTACTTCACAAAGATGATGAACAATGCCCTTGTGAATGGCAAGAAAAACGATGATACCTCCAAGTTGATAATCTGACCCCTCATCATGCAACTTCAATAAGGTATAGTAATAATCTAACTGGATAAACCGATGAAGGAAGAATGGAAAAGGCACTAAACCAGAGGGCTCTCACATAATGATAACATCCTTTAAAATAAGTTAACGACTCTGAGGTTAAACAGGTCATTTGCTATTCCAAAGAAAAACAAGTGGGACCTATCACATCGATGGATTATAAGTAGAATGCTACTTATAAGTAATACTCCCTCCAGTCCCATTTATAAGTCTAATTTTAGAAGGTATATTTGGTCCCATTTATAAGTCACGGTGCGTCTTTTTAGGTAATATTTGAGAGGTATTTTCAAAATTACCCTTCATGAGAGAGAAAAAGTAACAGGATATTACTTTTTAGATTTGTTATATAGGGACATGTTTGGAATTTTACTTACTTTTATTCCTTATACTTTTATTGTATTGGTATTGATGAGGTTGGTAGAAATGACTTATAAATAGGACCGGAGGGAGTACCAATCAAAGAGATACCAAAAATACATTGAGGACAAACTTTAAGATGATGGTTTTGAAAAACATTTCTAATACGCAGAACAAACAAAAAACAGTAGCACTCGCACAAAAGCAAGGAGTAAAAAATTTATGAAAATATAGAGAAAATCGCATCCAAGGACCCTTGTACAACTTTATTTGCAAAAAAGGACCAAAGAAATTTGCAATTAGGATGAAAGCGAAATTAATTCTCTTTTTTTAATATAACATAAGTGAAATTAATATTAGTTTTGAAAATACCTAATAACCCCTAAACAATGAAACCAGCAAGTTTGAATGGAATAAAAGTGAAGTGCTTGTTTAACAAGCAAACATTCAAAAAACAACTAGTACTTGTTACATTTTTACAAGCAAGAGGTTAGAAAATTATGAGTGATAAAACTATCAAATTTGAGCGAAATGACAAGTGACACAAGCAAACATTCAAAAAAATAACAATTGTGAAGTCTAAACAATGGAAATAGCAAGTTGGAGTGATATTACATTTCCACCACAAGGATATTTTCATCTTTTTTCCAACAATATTATTTACAAATTGACCCCAGGGACTACAGAGTGATACTAGATTTCTTTGGCCCTTTAAATTTGATAATAATTATTTAATTAACATTTATGATGTATTTACAAAATGTATGGGAAGTGAATCAATTTTTTCAAGTATGTGTTATCTTTTTCTCATTAAAATCCACTAAGGTTACATTTGGATGGGTAGATTTGGGCTGAAAATTTGAATTTAAAATTCATAAATTTTAAGTTCTTTGTTTAGATAATATAAAAAATTACAAATTATAATATTAAAATACTTTAGTTAGATCCTAATAAAATTTTAAATTTTAAATTCTATGTTTGAATTTAAATGCAACTCGAATGATGTCAGTGGTCCGGTCTCGATCAAGGGTGGTGACTCAATCTCGATCAACTTCGATAACCGACATCAGTTGGATGTGATAGACCAGTACCAAACGATGGTAGCAAACCATACCGAATGGCAGCGTTGGATCGGCATCGAAAGACAACAACAATGGCAAACTAGCATCTAGTGGCAGAGGAGGGTCATCCGGGTAGACGTCGACAGTTTGGTTCCAATCATCATTGGCAGTCTGGTCCCAATCAACATTAGCAATCATATCCCTATCAAAGCCAGTGGTTCAATCCTAGTCGAAGCTAGCAGTCTAGTCCCAATCATAGCCAGTTGTTCGGTCCCCGTTGACACCGACAATGTTGTCCCAATTGTTGCATGCGATGCCAATGGATGTTGGTCAGAGATAGTGATATTGAAGTCAAAAAGATAATGAAATCAACAAATAAACACGAATGGAGAGAAAAACTTTCATTAAAATTTAAAAAAAATAGGAGTTTAAAAAGGATTTGAAATTACATTGGGATTGAGGTAAGATTTGAATCAAATCTAAATCTAAATTCAAATCCACATATATTCAAACATAACATTAAATATGATAATTTTAGTAGCTACTTCTACCAAAAACCTGATTTTGATTATTTTCAACATGAAACTAAATAAGCTCTTGACACGGGTTTTAATTTTGTCAACTTTGACATTAAGAAGGATTTATACCGACAAACAAACTTGACAAGAAGAGCAGTGGTGGTGAGATGGACCAAACCAATTCAAGATGTCTTTGATGATATATCATCCGCTGCTGACTTGTTGCTTCAATTCAAATGTTCACTTCTTTGTCTCTCATCGTCAAGGACTCGTTGTTGAAGGTGGACGAGCTTGCACGCAGACAGACAGATTGTGTCTGTGTCGTCATGGAGAAGATGCCACAAGTAAGGATATGTGAGATAGGGACGAGGCTGCCATGGCTGATTATTTGGCTTCATAGGGAACTAATTAACAACAACGTAACATGATGACAAGATTCTCAAGGTAATTTCATTTAGCATACATTGATGCATATCACTTCAATTTCCTGACAATATCCATTCATTCTATTCTATTTGTAGTGTACGTATGATATAATATTGATCTCCTATAGCCCTCGTGAAATGTTTTGGACATAAATGAGCATGGTAATAATAATTTCAAGTACGTCAGATATGGATGCTTTACTTGAGGTGTCTATCGTACTGCATCACTTTTACTCTTTCATCATTAATTAACAACTTTTTTTTTTTGCTGATAAGCTTCATCATTAACCCTCTTTGATTTAAACTAATTCAAGTCCTATCATAATTATTGCATTCCATTTGTGATTGACTACTTGATTACTTGATTATGGTGTGGTACTGGGTCGCAGATCAAAGTAGGTTTAGGTTGAAAGTCAACTCTTTTTCAAAAAAAGTAAATATTATATGTTAATTATTATTAATAATTAATAATACAATAACACAAGACCATGCCATATATAGGTTGTGATTTGTGAATGCATGGTCCGATACCTAGATAAAATATTGCTCGAATTTTTGGCTAAATTATTAATTAATATACAGCAGTCATTTAGACTTGGTTATGTCAGCTTCATGATCCGTACTAGAGCCATTACATATCCAGTGTAATGAAAACCACGATTTTGTTTTTTTTTTTTTTTACCGATAATGAAAACCACTTGACCAGTTTAAAATATTTCAACTGTTCAATTTTCTACAATCTAATACTTCCTTGTATGAAATGAACGAGACACAAAACTCTTATCTACTAAACATTTTAATTTTATAATTCTGGGGGAAATACATTAAGTAATTTTTGAAATATTAAAAGACCAAAGTAATAAATTGGAACTTTTCTACTAAACATTTTAATTTTATAATTCTAGGGGAAAAATTAAGTAATTTTTGAAATATTAAAAGACCAAAGTAATAAATTGGAACTTTTCTACTAAACATTTTAATTTTATAATTCTAGGGGAAAAAATTAAGTAATTTTTGAAATATTAAGACACCAAAGTAATAAATTGGAACGTTTATTTAATAGTCATCTAGCAATTGTACCTCGGAGCTAGACCACATCTAATGAAAACGTATCATGCTTGGACTTCTCTGTACACTTTTCTCCGTTTCAGCCCTTGTTGATCTCAAAGAAACTCAGCATGAACAAACTCAAGCTCTGTAATTTCAATCAAAACTAACAAAAACTACAAGAAAATGTTTCAAAATGATTCATTCTAAGGCGTCCCATTTAAAAGACCTTTCTTCCTCTACCAGCTGTAACTAATATTTTCCCACTCACAGATATCATAATGCTAAGACTGAGATCCACTACCCTAGCTAGGAAAATGATCATTTACAATTATGAAGCTGATAGTATTTACAACATGGATGCTATGCATGGACAATAACCATAAAAATCAGGAAGGAATCAAAGAATAATTGCCCCACCAGAACTGTAAATTTAATTAATTTATCGCCTCTTTTTTTTGCTGAGACTTCGGTGCAACTGCCATGACCATACAAGCAGACATGATACAAGGATAACTCCAACAGATGACCAGAACATTACCAGCCATGAAGGCATTGGTTTAGGATACAAACCTGGGAAAACAAAGCAACAAAATTTCATTGAATAAGCTGTTTGAATGAATACTTAAGTGATAAAGAACTTACAAGTAGACCTACCATGTCCAAACTTGATACAAATTAGTAATTCAACAATGCAAATGGCAAGAGAAAGCCAGCAAAAAGCTCCGACCTTTTTCACCGGCTTCCTGGGAATTTCACAACGAACACGTAGGGATGAAATATTGAATTAAACAATGATAGTACTATTTAGGACGGCAATAAAATAAGAAGAAGACAGGCAGTATGTACCTGTCTTGAAGGTAGGAATTGTACTCGCGAATGGTTGGGATCGCAATTAACCACCACAAAATCAACCGATAAATGATAACAGGATTTCGAGGTGGTATCCACAGACAGAACTTGAGAAAGAATGTGTTGAGCTCTACAGTTAAAAAGACAATACAAAGACTGATCACTTGAATAAAACGCCAAGGACCAAGCAATGGATGCCACTCATCTTTGTCCCAATGTGCTGGAGTAAATTGTCCTAATGTTCGCTTTACCTGATGGATAGAGGAAAAAGGAGCACTAGAGTCAAAATCAGTCTCCTTATAGCGCTATCAAAAGGTTGGGGGGGGGGGGTTCATTATTTCCTCAATGAGAAATGAAGCACCGGCTATTTAACATTTTGAGTCCTAGAAAGTAGTCAATATACAAGTAAACCTTCCAAACTCACAAAGTCTTACAAATGAGTCCTTCTAGCGTCAGTGAGTCACTTGACCGAAAAACTTAACTTGCAACGAGTTTGTTGCACTATCAAAGATTAATTAACTTGTGCACTTATTAACTTTCAAGAGTAAAGTTAATTAGGTTTTAAAATATAAGGTTCAAATTGTTAATTTACTCAAATATATGCTTGTTGATTTAATTGACCATAATCCTAAACGCACCTTTCCCATGATATTAGGTTGACGGCTCAGGCCAACCCACTTGTATGTTTTCCCATCAAAATACCTAACAGTATACATTCCTGCCCATATACCTGCATAGTAAACCAAGCAAATAAATATATTACGATTAGGCATTAATAGCAAATGGATCACAACAAATCTAATTTGGATAAATGACTAATTATCCGCAACTGGTCAATATCTCTACTTTAAAAATGTATTAAAGAGGAAAAGAGTCTAATATTACAAAAAAAGAAAGATAAAACACCACAGGCACAAAATATGCTGAGGCTGGCAAAAATTAAATCAACTAAACATAAAGAAGCAATAAATTCATGTAAAGAAATCAAAAAATTCCAGGTTCAACTATTATCATTCCAAAAAATATATTATGAACAAATAATTAATTATTAAATAAATTTACTAAAGTGTATCACTAGCTAGTGCTACTACTAGTTTCAAACATTGAATCTTGAAAAGACAAGGTAACTATCGTAAGAAGAAACAATCAAAAGCTTAATGTCACATGAAAATAGCCTCAAAATTTTGATATTCACCAGAAATTAGGAGTTCTCCAGATAGTATAAAAACACAAATACATAAAACGTGGTTGTGAAAATTTCACTGCCTCAAGATGCATGGCAGGGGCATAAAAAAACTCCCACTATAATTCTTCATGTATGGGGCTAGCTCTCATCTTTATAGTCAAATACTAAAATTCCAAAAACATTAAGAACATATCCATGATTTTGAAAATCTAACCTTTGGTCTGATGATATAGTCCATAAATAGGAGCATGCTTTGGCCCAAATAAACATAGGTGCTTGCTTAAAATAATTATACATGGTAAGTACTACCTCACCAACAAGGAAAACAAAAGGTTAAGAATTCTTACCAAACCAGTTACAGATCAAAATGTCAAGTATGATACTGTCCCACCAGCATTCATTGAAGTTCGGTAACATGTGGCGAAAAGTAAACTGCTAATGCAAATATAAGCTCATAAGCAAACAATATTGTATAATTTGGAAAGTAACATGCTTTAACAATACAAATCCAGCCCTTCCCCTCCCCACAAACTGTAGAGACTAAGTGAGATCAATTAACAAATTGCATAGTTATAAATCAGATCAAGGGCTAACCTCCATCAACTCAAAACCAATTGATAACACCCAAAGAAGAGGCTGATTACGGATCAAAATAGCCTTCCCCCACCACCCGATTACATGAGCAAGAACAAATTCATCAAAAAGTGTATCCTAGAAAACAGAGAATATAAAAACAGGAGCATAAGGAACCCACATGATCAAGGGAAGAACAAGACAGCATTAGTAGGTGAGAACAGGATAAAGTTTGTGAAAGAAGAAATCATACATAAAGATTCTTAAACCTGCTCGTAGGGTTTTCTGGCACATAAATGCGACAATCAGCACCATAAGACCTTTCAGGAAGCTCTGCATAAAGTCAGGAATAATAATTATGCATATTAATGATCCAATCCAGTAAAAAAATCTCTTCAAGAATAAAATGAAACAAAATTCAACAATTAACTAGCTGCTACTTATCCAATTCAAAACTTAAAAAGAGAAGAACCAGATTCATTACCAACACCAAGATCAGGATGAAGAAATTTCATGAACTGTCGAGCATCATCACGTTTCTGGGAAAAAATACTCAATCATTCAGTCAATGGAAATAGAAAAACTAATAATAGACCCCCACATGTTTATTATCCATAAATTTGCTAGAGACAGACATAGTCAGAGTGGGAAGGAGCCAACAGACAATAATATAAAAGGTACACAATACAAGTAGTGCAAAGATGCACTGTGATGTAATTCACGTAAAAATTATCTCTGCAAATCACATAAATGAATACCCTTTAAACTCTGCATGCATGTGTTACACTTTTTGCATACACAGCTTTAACAGAAAATAAGGGGTTATATCAAGACACAACAACTGACCTGGAAAAGCAAAAATGTGAGGGCAACAAGGTAAACAACAGCCATGCCATGGACCAGTCGCCAAATTGCAGGATGTGGTCTAATAAGAATCCTGAATGAAAACAGTGAATAATGAATGTTAGACAGACGTAGTGGTCTCCGCAGATAAATCAACCAGAAACCTTAAGCTGGTCTGAAAAATTACTCAAAGTACTACTTGTCCATCATCATTCCCTACTCCTGGAGACCCAGTAGAAAAATATTTTCATCTAAGTAGCTTAACCTAACAGAACAACTTGAGATGGGATTACATTATAGAAATAGAGTTAAAACAATATAAGACTAATCTAGTCGATCAAAAGGATTCATTTCTGTTTAAAAGTTTCACCATCAGCCTGTAGTCCCCCAATTCCTAAATAAGGAATAAACAGATATTTCCAATGAATGCTCTTTTTAATGAACTTACTACAACTTTTACACACTTTTCCCCTGAATATATAGTTAAAAGCCACCTCACAACTTACCAATCCAGGATTCTCACTTGAACCACATGCAGGACGAGTAAGAATACATTCAAAAAATAAAGATCTACCTACAGAGTTGAAAGATACAAACTTGACACAACAAAGTTACTTTAGTTACTCACGTGGAAGGAGCTTGCAGCAGGCAGTAAGCAAGAAAAACAGCAATCATTGCCCACACACCCCTACAGAAAAACCAAGTATTTAACATACTGTACAAACAGTACAATTCTCAAATGATAAGGCATGTTAGTAATGACTATCCGAGTAATACTATAAATGAGGACAAAACCTTTTAACAGAGGTAACAAGATCACCAGATGCATCTCTTTCTGGATCGAGTGCACCGCTTGCCCATCTGGCATCATATACATCAAAACTAAAAATTAAAAAGAAGACAAGCTTAATAACTTTACTTGAGAAAGCATTCGTCAAATGGTCAAGGTGAGCAACTAATTTGGCATCAATTTATCAAATGGAGCACTCACATTAGAAAACAAGCGCCAATCATTAACAATGTAATAGTGCGAGGCTTGTAAGCCCATGCAGTCCATGGATCAAATTCTTCGTCAACATTTGACACATAATGGAAATCACCATTTTCTTTATCAAGGTAATCATTTCTCTTAACCCTTTTCTGACAGCTGGACTCCATAATTTGGTGTCCAGAAAAGCTTTCTTAGAGTTCCTGAGATCACAGAAGTAAGATTATTTCCCCATGCTATGACAAAGATATGATCATGAAGAAGCCGTTCGTGGAAAGTACAAAGAATAACAAATAGTGAGAAAAATTCTCTTTTTGCAAGACATAAACCATCATATCACGCTTACCAATAATGACCATTACGTGAAAGCACAGCAAATGAGCAAACACTCATTTAAGTACATAACATAGGCAGCACAAGTAGGCAAGGTTCTTACCAAACTACCCTCGTGTCATTAAGCATTACATTTAAGAGAAAAATTTTCAGAGAAGAACAAGAGATATATAGACCCATATAGACGCACGATACCATTTTCAAAAGAAAATCTGCAATTCTATGTTTTTTTTTTTTGGGAGGTAGGGGGGCTCCCAGGCCCAGTAAAGATCCAATTTGCAGTGAGTTTCAAATGAATTTTAATACTAATTTTGGTTCACACTGATATCATTTGTTGTTATTAGCATACAATGCAACAAAAAATTCCCATATCGTAAAACAAAACTCCCACGAGATTCCTTTTATTGTAAAAAAATGATTCAACAAAAAGTTACAATTTGCCTTCAGAAAATTAAACGATCTTAAAGTTCGAAGTTAAAGACCAAGCTAGACAGTTGCACAACCAATGAATTGAGGCATAAGAAATCGCTTTGGCCCAGGAAAAATTTATTTAAAAAATAATAATAAACTGCAAATTTGTAGCCTAAGTAGCATCTAATAAACAATTTAATCATAAATAACCGACCTAAAGGCCGCACATAAAAAATATTATGATAAATAGAAGCACACACAATATAATTCAGATAAAACCAACATGCACTTTGCAAAGAATAGCAGACTGAACAAATGAGCCATCCCTCCGACTAACCTTTGGTTAAGAACTTAACAAACGGATGAATACCAAAAGAACTCTCAACAGAAACTATTTCGAAAGCCTTCCTCGAAAAAGAGATTTAAAAAAAAATGATCAAGGCAATTGGCCAATGATATAATTTCACTGTCGTGATCTATTCTAATCTCGCATCCACAGCATCAACAACAGAAAACCCATCACCTCAATGCACAATTCAACGCTAAACCACTGCATGTAAGAAAAATTCACCGTACCTTAAATCCAGTAAAGAGACACGGGACATAAAAATGAGAAGAAAATGCTTGAGGGGATAAAACTAATTTAAATTAAATAGAAGCATAATTAATAAGATAAACGGGATTAAACAAAAACAAGAAAAATGAAAATACACGTACACTGAATGTGAGGAGCAGAATCGAAAACAGAAACGAAGCCCAATCCAAAAAAGAAAATGCAGGCACAAAAGAGATAGAGACGGGGAGAGAGAGTAGGTAAAAGTGCGAGCGCTAGAGGTATTATACGGAAATGATTTATTTGAAGAAAAAGTGGGTTTTAAAGTCATCTATAGTTTTGATGCTGAGTTTTCAGAGACGGAAGACTTACGTAGAGAGGCCGGCAGAGAAAGGACTCCTGGCCGTACGATTGAGAGAGCGAGAAGATCGAAGCCGTCAGATCAAAGTAGAAGAGAAGACGCGGCAGCGAGCGGAAGCAGCAGAAGCGTATAATATTAATCAAAGAAGGCGAGTGTTTGTGATTATCTCTCCCACTGATAATTAACAGCAATAAAAAAACCAGTTTTTTGCTGCAGTGAGAGATTCTTAAGGTTGGGTTCGAGCGTATTAAGAGTGAGAGAGAGAGAGGGAGGGGAGTGTAGTTTTGTGGTGGTCTCTCTCTCTCTCTTTGTGAGTGAGTGTGAGTCTTTGGTTTCGTTCGCGGCAGAGTCTGCTGCAACAGCGGCGAAAAGGCAAAGAGTGATGATGATGATGAGGAGAGAAATTACAAAGGGGAGAGAGAGAGAGAATGAGAGAGAGAGTACGATGGTCAAAGAGAGATTTGAAGATGGTATTGGATACGCACGCTGATGAAAACAGAAAATGTTGAAAGGTGGGGGGATTTAAAGGGGCATGGGGAGGAGAGAGTGGGGGGCGACGGGACGGAGAATTAATGTTTGTGCCAGAAGTACCCCTCTGAATCTTCTTTAATTGCAGCACATCGCTTCCTTTGATTCCTCTCCAAGATCTGAATTTACCATTATACCCTTCCTTCCCATTAACAACCTTTTCTCCAAAAAATTTAAGGCAAAAAAGACAGGGAGAAATGAAAGTATGGCTAGGTCTCTTAATCCTGCTATAAAAGGTTCTAGGTTTCCCGACCTTTCTGTTACCGGAATCGGAAAATTTCTTTAAATTTTGCCATAGAGAAGCTAATTTGTATGCTGATTCTGTTACACGGTTTTCTTATAACTTAGAGTTAGATTAGATAGTTCATTTTATTTCTTTGATCATCCCCAAAATGATGAAAAAAGTGTAGGATGGTTTATATTTTGCTTTAGTTTGTAATAGTAGTTTCTCAGAATTTTTTTTTTTTAAAAAAGAAGGCCCTAGGTTCAAACAAATCTTGATGGGAACGTAGAATGAAAATGACAGTTTTTTACTCGCTCGCTCGCTTTAGACATCCTAATCCAAATAGCTTATATCCCCCCTCTTGTTATAATTCTTATTAGAATTGAATTAGACTAGCCGAGTTGAATCAAAAATTGGTTCTAAATTTAGTATGGTTATAGCAAAAATTTGTTTATCTTGACAATTGTCCAAAACTAGTCACCAACATGCTAGAACTGGCAAAATTAGTGGGTTGATCGGTTGAATCGGTCTTATTTTTAAATTTTTTTATTTGTGAAACTTTAATTCATATTTACAAATTACAATTTACACATAATAAGTATTAATAAATGGAAAAAATGAATAAATATGTAAGAAATATGCATATATGTATATATTTTAAAGTTATAAATTGTACATTATGAAATAAGTATATATATTTTGGATTAAAATGATGGAATAGTCAATAGTGATGGATATTGCCATTTTTAATTATATACTATTTTTTAAATTAAAAAATTACTTTTATTATCATGGGTAATATTTTTTATTTTAAGCATATATTATTTAAAACATATTAATTTATTTATGATTGGTTGAATCATAGTTTGACCATTAAACTATGAATTAATACCTCATTTGGTTTAATAACCGATTTAGCTTTCTTGACCTTCATTGTAATGAGCTACTAGACACTAAAAAAAACCAATGAATTAAAGATAAAATTTTATTTCATCACAAATTAATGATATCATTGTTGCTACTCTTGCTAAGAGAGGTAAGTAGAGCCAGTGACTTGAGTAAATTTGCCTTACTTAGGCCAAGTTTATTTAGATTAAGTTTAAAAATTAACCGAACAGATAAAAAAAGATTATATAGCCAAATTTAATCCTAATACCTTGGGCTTTTGAGTTAGCCCTAATACTTAAATTATTAAATATTATATTATATTTTCTTAGTCAATTTTAATTTTTATCTTAAAACAATTAAAATCTTTAATTTTTATATTATTTTAATTTTATTATATTAATAATTAAAAAATTTAAATATTTGAGTTAAACTCATTCGGTTTTGACTTAGTTCAAATTTTTTAAAATTTATTTGAATAATATGGATAGGTCAAAGTAAATAAAATAAAATAAATTTTTAAGTTTGATCCTAATTTTTTCGTCCATGTTTAACTTGCTCTGAATTACCGACTGCAGAGCTCACTTTTGTAATCTTAACATTTTCAGTGGGCGTGGTCATTCACTATTGAACAGACCTTGTTGCGAGAAAGAAGGCATACCTATGTAATTCTATGCTCCGAAAAAAGATTAGTTCTTGACTATGGGTCAGAAAAATAATTATTATATAAAAAAATTGGATAAATCAATCCATGCAAAGAGCACAAGAAAACATGGGTGCATTAAATACTTGTCAAAATCAATCTACTATTTGGAACAGAAAGGGATAAAGTAAATCCCTTAAAATGGACCTACGTTATGAGCTTGTTTGGTGAGCCACTTATTATATCCATTCACCTTGCAATGGATGTGGCAAAGAATACTGTTTCAATTTTTTATGAGAAATTTTTCTATTTTTTTTACTTAAAAAATATAATAATAAATTATTTTAAAATATATAAATAATAATAAAATCTCTTAAAATATAATAACATATTATTACATGTTAAATTTTTTATTTATTGTATTGTTATAAATATAAGAAAAAAAGTTGTGAATATTTAAACAAAATGTATTAATTATTTATTTTTAACAAGGACAATTTAATATTTATATAAATTTATTAATGATAAAAAAAATTTTATAGACTTTAAGAAAATTATAATATTTTAAAGGATCAAATTATTATTTATATATTTAAAAAAATTATTATCATTTTTTTGCTTGACCAACAAAAGTCTTTCAAAAACTCGTTAAAATTGAGTATGTCTTTGTAAATAGTCTACCAGCAAAAATTTTCATACTAACAATAAGATTGACTAAATTTTTATATTGGTAGATAAAGTTAGAAATTTTTATATTGGTAGATAAAATTAGAAAATTTTCTTTCTTGTCTTGTCAACAATATTTAACTATATAAGTATATTAATCCCTGCCTTATAGGCACTAATCAAAACATTATGGAAATATTTACGAATTTCTTATTACTAATAAAATTCAACATCTTTACTAATATTAACCGGTGATTCTTCTGAGAATTTGTTGTTGAAATGATCAATGGGTTGTTTTGAGAAGACATGCCTCGTTGATCAACAGGCTGTCAAGGACGCACGAGGTTGTTATTTGTCATCTCAAACAGCTCTGTGAGGATTTTAGGTTATTGATGCAACTCTTTCTCTAACATCTTTTTTCTTACCTTCCTTTTTTCTTTGTTCTTTCTTCGTGACATGCATATTTAAAGTTATCAATTAAAATCAATTCAGTCCTAACAAATTGATTCTTAAAGAATCAGAATCTAAATAGGTTGGTCATAATAAATTTAATTATATTTTATGACTCTCTTTTACAAGGCTTGATCTTATTTTCTTTACTTTTTTAATTTAAAATTTTAAAAAATATATTTATAATCTTAAAAAAAAGTTATTACACATGAAATTAAGTTTTAAAAAATAAATTTAAATCAATTCACACCACAATAAATAAAAAAAACTAAACTTCCAAGTCTAATATCAAATAGCAACATCAAAATAATACCAATAAAAATTAGACTCGGCTAACACTATCAATTAAATCTTAATGAATATATAAAAAAGGAATGAATAAATCTAATATATTTATTTTTTTAGTTATATATTTAATATTTTATTTTTTATATTACAATTTAAAAAATAATAAAGAGCCTTAAAGGGTCAGCCCTTTTATTTTTGAGCTTATAAAAATTAATTCTTTTAAGTTTGAATTATCATTTTTCACTCCAAAATAGTGGCCTGGGCCCTAGTTATTTTCAAACTTAAAAGAACTTACCCAACAGGCTAAGCCTTAATTAACAGCTCTAAGCACACTTTTTAAAAAGATACTATTTTACATCTTATATATCAATTACCTTTTTAAAAGAATTAATGACTTTTATACGTTAAAATAAATTGTTAATTACTTTATTCAAATTTTGCCTTTTTCATAATTTTGATGAGTATAGTAAATGTTATATACAAAAGGACATATTTTTAAACATGGTGCAACTCTTTCTTTTTCTATGGTTTGTTTTGTATCTTGTGTCTCTGTTCATGCACATTTTTTAAGATAGACGCATGTTTCATTCAATAATTGAGATTTCATTATGTTATTATTTTATATTTTTTAAATTCAATATATTATGCTTTTCATAGCTCATATGAATTTTACTATTGGAGACAATTATATTCAAAGTACGATCGGGTATTAAATGTAAACACTTTTAGTAGAAATTCAAACTTTGATTCACCACGTTGTGAGAGACTAGTTCTTTTCACTAAACCTAACCCCATTGATCATTGTATGTTTCATATCGTAGTATCTATAAGATTAATTATATTTTTTATATTTTCTTTATTTAAGATGATCAAAATAATCAAACTATAATTACAAAATAAGGAACTCTAGATCATGAGAAATTCTTAAATAGACCCAATATAATAAATCATTCATGGTCCATCTAATAAAAATAGAGAAATACTTACATAAACTGAGTGTATCACATCATTTGTAACCTTTTTAATAAAAATATAACATTTAAATAACATTAAATATAAATTAATTTTAATATTAATGATAATAAAGAGAGAAGAGGTAAGAAATTAAATGTGAATTATGTTATAAAAATAAAATTAATTAAAAAATATCACACAATATTTTATTTAAATTATTTAAAGCATTTTAATTGAACAGATTATAAATATCATGATGCATCAAATTTATTTAAGTATTTTTTTAAAAAATATGACATTAAATTAAATTTATTCTGACATTAATGTGAGGCTGTGCATCAAATCTAATTAGTTCTTTTTTGTTTAAAGTGATATTTTTGTCTGCTTTTTTTATTTTCCCATTTTATTAGGAGGATTGGAATCATAGTCACTCTCCTCGAGGTATCAAAAAGGAATGCATCATGGTAAAAACAAATGTGAAAAAGGGTATATAAGTTTTTACGTTATTTCTAATGAATGTGAAAGATTTAAATAAAATACTTTTTTACTAAAAATCATATTCTCTAATTTTATTTAAATTTTATGATACCTATGAAATTAGATTAAGAGCTGAGTAATATGATCGATTCCCTGCAATCTGAAGACATTTTGGCAAGTAAGGATGGTGCTCGACATCTACTTTTGTACTAGAGATAATTATCTCAATCAGATAAAACGTAAATGATTTGAAAATAACAGCGAAGAATAAAAAGAAAAAGAATTGAATAATAGATATTATTGTATTTCCATAAATTTATACCGTGAGTCGTAATTCAACCAATATCAGATTTTAGACATGCACGA